AAAAAAAAAAAAAAAAAAACAGCACCAATTAATCAGTCAATGAGAATGTGTGTGTGAGGGGGCATAAGCAGCAGCAGCAGCGACTCACTGTTCAACATGACAACAGAGGGCTTAGCAGGGACGGAGCACCTGCTGCTGCACGTAAACAAGTCGTCTACAGTCTTTTTGACATGACCAGCAGACTTCACTGCAAGCTGTTTGGATGTTGACACAGGTGACATACTTTACATTCTAAAACCAGCTACCGGTGATTTGACCAGCTGAGTTGCCAGTGACACCATCAGCAGGTTTGAGTCGAGCTCAGACGGCAACTTTTCTCTGCAACGTTCTAAAATGGTTTTGTCTCGTCACGAATCTTTGGTCTGAACTGGGCTTTACACCGTAGAGTCTACAATTATCTGTCTCTCTGGCTGAATCCAAAATTGAACAAAGCTGCATTTTAAACTGCAGTCTCAAAACTGTGGAATAAATAACCTCACTTTGTTAGAATGGCTACAACAGTGTACCCTTTAAATCTCAACTTAAAAAACATTTTTATAAATTTATTGTGTCTATTTTTTTTTTAAATTCTACTTTCAGCGGAACATTTTGTAAACTTCTGTTTTTGATGTAGTAATATATTTCTTTACAGATAAAATTATGTAATAGCTCTTCATTGTTGTATCTTGAAATAGCGTGCTGTGAAGTGCTTATACAAAAACATTTCTATTTACATTTCATTATTTAATATGATGACTCAAGCCTTCCAAATCTCTAGAAAGTCATTCACAATAACCAGTTTGGCCGGAAGAAAAATAAACAGATACTTTGCATGACAAAAACTAAATTCACTGCCAATTATAATCCATGTGTTGTGTTAATACAACCAAACTCACCTTCTCTATGGTTCCAGTCATGGGGGCCACAGCTCCGCCCTGAGCCCCAGAGCCGCTCACACCAGCCAGATATTTTGGCACTGGCACAGACACCTGGGAGCTTCCCTCCTGCAGAGAAGATGTAAAGATGTCAGAAACAGAGGTGACAGTTAAGTGGCAGCTGAGGTAAGAGGATTTGAACAGTCTTTAATTTCCCCTGATGTCAGATGTCAAGTGTTTGTCCCCAGTCCCCGGTCTTTAAAGATGACAGATGCTTAAGGCAGGAAATAGAGATGGGGAGTCTCTGTGGTGACAGGTGAAGTGTAGCTCTCATTAAATCGACTGGGGAAAGCAGCCATTTATAGCTTTTACAAAATCTGTTATTTGTGGAACTGAACCTGCAATAAAGTCGAGAGTAAACAGAACAAACTGCTGCTAATAAACAAACACACATTTTGTCCAGATTTAAAATAGCTAAGGACCACAGACAGTTGTAAATAACGTATATATTTGTCAGCAAATGAGTTTAAGAAGTTTAATACTTGAGGAATAAATAAGTTTAATTTATAGGACAACAGGTTCACATGCTTAAGAAAGCTCACCCACGTACGTACTGAAACATTTAGGTTTAAGATATGTTTAAATATGATTTCAAGCAAAAGTGCAAAAAATTCTCTGGTATCTGCTTCTGAAATATGTGCATCCACTGTTTTGTTTTGTCTTACGATATACTTAATTAAATATTTTTGTGATTTTGGACTACATGTTAGACAAATCAAGAAATTTGATGATGGTTTCCGGGATGCTGTGATGGTAATATTCACAATTTTCTGCAGTCTATGGAACAAACAATACATCAAAAAGACAAAAAAATATAAACAGCAGATTTGTTATATGCAAAATCACCGGTTGTAACCCTAAAATAATTTACCTTAAATGGTAAATGGCAAATGGACCAACATTTATATAGCGCCTTTCTAGTCATCAGACCATTCACCCATTCACATACACATTCATACACTAGTGGCTGAGGCTATCATACAAGGTGCCACCTGCTTCTCAGTTTTTTAACACACTCACACACCGATGAAAGCATCATCAGGAGCAATTTGGGGTTCAGTATCTTGCTCAGGGATACTTTGACATGCAGGCTGGAGGAGCTGGGGATCGAACCAGTGATCTTCCGATTGGTTGACACGAATATACAGATTTAAAGTGTGTGATTTGTTAATGGTGTAAATTAAAATGATTGTTTGGCTCTACCTCTGAGCCACAGCCAAACAATCATTTTAATTTACACCATTAACAAATCACACACTTTAAATCTGCATATTTATGCCATAAGTTGAAAAATAATTCATGTATATCTACAGGCAGTTCACTCAGCTCAGCGTTTCTAATGTCAACAGTGGTGGTAGGAACATACTGTGGAGAACAGGTGAACTGTGTTGTCCAGGATCACCAGTTTGGGACGAGACTTCATGCCATTGACAGAACAGTGCAGGAATGACGCTCCACCTTCCACCTCCACCTCCCCAGTCACATGGTACTCCTCCTTGCCAATCTGAAAGACAAAATACAGTCATGACAAATGTGACAGAGGCAGATCTGCGACCACAGATTCACCTATTACTCCTACTAATAGTGTTGCTTTTTAATTACTTAACTTGGGAACAGTAGTTTGGCAAAATATTCTGAGCTCAAGCTCCACTTACTGAGCTTTTGTGGATTTTGCAGGTGCATCCCAAAGCTTTCATCCATGAATACAGTTTACTCAGTATTAGATTCGCTGATAAAGGCTGTAAGATGTGGTTGAAAGCTCTAAAAAAACTATCCAGTGGACCTTGAGTTAAGTTTATTTTGTCAAACTACTGTTTCTAACTTTCATGCTTAGGTTTAGGGAATTTATTGGTGTTTATTTTAAATGTTAAAAATAGGTGAAAGCTAGATCATAGAAGAAAAACAGTCATGCAATAATGTGAGCTACAATCAGTATCTAGAAATAAAATAATTGAGCTGCTTTTTTTGAAAATCTGGGTACTTATCAGTGGAAAAAAAAAAAAAAAAACACAAACACTGATAATAATTTAGGAAACAGGATGTATTCCAGCTCACCTGCATTGTATAGCTTCCATCTTTGTTGTACACGACGACCACGTCAACTTCTAAAAGCAACAAACACACAGAGTGAAATATGAGGAAGCAAACTAGAGGAAACACTGAAGTTACTTAACACAGAGGCTTTAGCTGAACATCATCATCACTGATTTATTTTTGGCCCTGCAGTGACATTTATAATAGAAACATTTAATAATGAATATGAGTTAATGAACACAGTGTCACAGACCAGATCAGCTCTGAACTTAATTATTCAAACAGTCATTAAACTGTTATGAGTCGACCCTAACTGCACTGATCTTATTAAAACTAACACACTAGCCCATTTATTCTACTCATTTAACACACAATACAGACATAACTCAGAAACATTATATTAATACACCAAGTTTTTAACTGACAGGCCCAATGATCCTGTCGCTAGATATGTGATGAGAACATAGACACGAAAATAACCTGTGTAATCCATGTAGATACACATGTATTATCTATTATCTGAATTGTACGTTGTTTTGTAAGTTACTTTGCACTGATGCACTGCTTCTGATGGATGTGATGAGAAACCTGAAATATGTCCTGTTAGCTGCTGATATTAACTTCAGATCAAGTACTTTTTGAAGCAGAAGTGGGTTTTCAGATGTTTCTGGTGTCAAACTGAAGCCTAGAAAAGAACAGAAGGAATTTCCCATCCTGCCAGCACTGAAATTAGTGCTCAGGTCTTTTTAGTCCTGCAAATTTTGATTAAAGGTTAACTCTTTTAGTTATAGTTATTTATTAGGCTAAAATTTGCTGGTTTCAGTGTCACAAACGTGAGGATTTGCTGTTTTTCTTAATTTATATAACTGAAAAATTAAATACACTTGTTTTGGTGTGTTAGTGGGACAACACAAGAAATTTGAAAGTGGTTTAGGAATTTTTTTTCACCATTTTCTGATATTTCAAAGACTAAAAAATCATCAAAAAATACTCAAGAGATGAACTGATAAAAATTTGGTCAAAGGTTGGCATTGCAGCTCTGCATTGCATTTAGTCAACAAGATGATAAACTACTACAAATAATTACAAAAAAGCATCTCTGCAATCCCACCACTTTTGATCCTGTTGATTAAAGTTTTGGTTTCCTGTTCATCTTTTCTTCCGTCTTTACCTATCCTTTACCTTCCCTACCTTCCTCCACACTAGGGGGTGATAAAGGCTCACCATATGTCTGTTACTTACTTTTGTCTCCCAGCTGTAGTGTCATGTTTCTGTTAAACTTAATGTTGCTTCTCCAGCCACTGCTGGAGCCAAATGGGGAGAAGGGGTCTACAAATCACACACACACACACACACACACACACACACACACACAATATAAACACTTAATACACCATCCGTTTTTTAAATCAAATGTGCTGTACATCCTGATAAGTCCTGATGAGACAAATGTTCTCCCCTCACCAGTGGAGGTCTGTGTGAACTCCTGTGTGCTTTTCCTCTCCTGCAGCACCAGCCCCAGGGCCGCCTGGCAGATGGTCTCCCCAGAAGGAGCCCTCGGAGCTGGGAAGAGGTCTGCATAGTGCTGAGGGATGAAGCTGGTGGTCACATTTCCAGCCTCAAACTCTGGGTGGCCCGAAAGACTCAGTAAAAAGTTAATGTTAGTGTTCAGTCCCACAATCTGAGGACAGAGAGGATGCAAAGACAGTTAAGACACAGAACCATGAATTATTTATAGGCATTTTTACATGTACTTATTGTATCATTTAAACAAATGCTACATGTAGGGGCTTTAAGTTTAGCTTATACTATATTTATATGAAAAGCATCATGTGATTGTGTGTCTTACATTGTACTGTTGTAAGCAGTACCGCAGCTTCTTTAAGGCAGCAGATCGGTCTTCTCCCCACACCACGAGCTTGGCAATCATTGGGTCGTAATGTGCTGACACCTCGTCCCCTGAAAACACACATGCACACACACACATATCACTTTTAAAGCTCCCATCCTTCATCACCACCACATACTTAAGAGGTCGCATAGATACATTTTCTACCTTTTTAAACCTTTGCTGTCACGTGTGATTGGACAATTGCACAACGGAATTTAAAATTGCACAATTTCTCTAAGAGATCAGACTGAAAGCTCTACAAATGGATGGAAAACAGTAAAATCTAAACAAGCACTCATTGCTGTGGTTTCTGCTCTGTATTTCCCTGCATTCCTCTTTTTGATCTGCTTTTTACTTAATGTCTTTGATCTTTGTTTTGTGTGTAATGAGCCAGCAGGGACATTGTGATACACCAGGCAATGTAGAAAATTGGACACTTAATTCTGTTGTTACATAAAGACTGGAAAACTATCAACGTAAACACAACCAGAAAGTCAGATCTAGACTCCCTACCTTCCCTGACTCCAGTCTCTATGCGTGTGTGTTGGTCTGCTGAGGGGGTGGAGAGATGCAGCAGAGGCCCTGCCCCTGGAAGGAAGTCGTTGTTTGGGTCCTCGGCGTAGATGCGAGCCTCAAAAGAGTGTCCCCGTAAAATGATGTCATCCTGGAGAAGAGGCAGACGCTCCCCTGCTGCCACCTGGAGGAGTTTTAGAATAATCAATGTGACAACAGTCCAAACTTTTTACTGACAATAGGTAATGTTTTCAACTGGCTGTCAGCATTTCCTCCCTCCCTCCCTCCTCTCTCACCCTGAGCTGCCACTCCACCAGGTCAGTCCCAGTGACCATCTCAGAGACAGGATGCTCCACCTGCAGCCTGGTGTTCATCTCCATGAAGTAAAAATTATGCTGGGCGTCCATTATGAACTCCACCGTACCTACACAGGAGGACAAACAATATAATGTCAATGTACTGTGTGTTCTGGGCCTGAGGCAGTGTGGTGAGGTGTGTGCAGGGTGAGTGTGTGTCTCACCTGCTCCTACATAGTTGACGGCCTTGGCTGCTCGAACTGCTGCCTCTCCAAGTTTCCTCCGCACCTCAGGACTGATACCAGGCTGAAAAAATACATATAGAAACAGAGTGAAAACACAGTGAAACACTCAACAGTTGACACAAATATATTCAAGCGATCATTGCTCTATTTATCCTGTTTCACTCTACAGACTGAGAGCTTTAGCTGAATGTAAATTAAGGAGTTTGGGAGAAACAGATTTCCAGTGCCTTGTGCAATCTTGTTCATATCGGAAATCGTTTGATAACCAAGGTTTCCAATGTTTTGAAGAGGTCATTTTACAAGACAATGACTCACAAGCTCTTTGCAAATTGGACAAACATTTCCTCTACACTGACACTCACACTGGCTCATCATATTCAGAGCTTAAACCTCATGTCAGTCTATGATTAGCTTGATGTGAGAAATGTATCAATTTGCCGATATCTCTTACAGTTCCTTCCTCAGTCAGTATTAATTCAACTGACCACCATTATTCACTCACCCCTGGTGCTTCCTCTATGATCTTCTGATGTCTCCTTTGGACACTGCAGTCTCTCTCAAACAGATAGACAGCGTTACCGTGCATGTCCCCGAACACCTGAACCTCCACATGTCTACAGAAGACAGACAGACAGACAGACAGAGAAATAAAAGGACAAATTAATCTTTAAATAAGAATAACAAGTGGTAGAACCGTATGGTTAGCGGTAACTGACTGAGTGTGTTAAAGAATTATTATTATCACCTGGGATCCTCTACAAACTTCTCAACCAGCATGACATCATCGTTGAAGGATTTCCTCGCTTCTCGTCTAGCTGACTCCAACTGCTCCAAGAAGTCTGAGTCTGACCGTGCAATACGCATCCCCTTAACACACACAGACACACACACACACACAAGTTTATTTAATGTTACCTGAAGTCAATTTATCATAGTTATTCAGACTTTTCACGTCCTCTCACCTTCCCTCCTCCCCCACGGACTGCCTTAATCATCACAGGGTATCCTATCCGGGCAGCTTCTGCTTGCAGCCTCTCATCTGATTGGTCCTCTCCATGGTAACCACCAATGATTGGCACTCCAGCAGCTGACATGATGTGTTTGGATGTGCTAAAAAAGAGACGGAGCAAGAAAAGTAAATGGCACAAAGGTTAGCTTTTATATGTTTTATATGCACTCTGACATCTTTTTTTAACATTCAAAGTACTGAAGAAAACAGTCAACCGACCACCTGGCACCCTATCATAAGTCCATAAGTGTATCACTGCTCTACAAGGAATGAAAACATTTACATTAGTCCTTCTAGGTACCAAGAAACACAATTTTTTTTTTTTTTTTTTACTAAATGTTAATTAGAGACACCTAGAGGGAGGATATAAATGAACTGTTTTGTGTGTGTTACCTTTTAATGCCCATGTCCCGGATAGCAGAGGAAGGTGGCCCAATGAAGATGATGCCCTCCTGTTTACACGCCTCTGCAAACTCTGTGTTTTCTGACAGAAAGCCATAACCCGGGTGGACCGCCTACACACACAAACACATTGTCTAAGACATCACATTTAACAGTGTCAAAGCCCCTTGTTGGTCTAAGAAGAATAATTCAACATGGAGAACAGTTGAAGGGCTTTGAACATCATTATCTATTATTTCTTTTGGAAATAGCTCCTTTAAGCAGAAATTCTCTTCATAAAACTGTTGACAACGAGTAGAGGATTACTCACATGTGAGCCAGACTTCTTGGCCACTTCCAAAACTTTTTCCATTGAGAGGTAACTCTGCTGGGAGGGTGGAGGGCCAATGCGGTAGGCTTCATCTGCCTATATAAAAGCAAGCAAAGCGAAAATCTATTTCCAATTGAACATAACTAATGCAAGTTTGTAAACAATTAATTATTGTAACACCACTGCCTCAATGAGTTCATCAAAGCAGCTGCAGAAAGAATAGACGAAAACAGTGAGGACAGACTGAGCAGCAGATGAATACTATTGCCAAAAGACTGTTCAGCATCTCACCATGGCCACATGCATGGAGTGTCTGTCAGCATCGCTGTACACAGCCACAGAGCGGACGCCCATCTTCTTGGCCGTGCGCATCACACGACATGCAATCTCTCCTCGATTGGCAATCAGCACCTTCTCTATCCTTCCCACCCCTGGAGAAGACACAGCAGAGATTTTACAAAACCAGTATAATCTTAAAATAAAGTTTACAATAGTCTCTACCTCACTAATCAAGTCAGAAGAAGAAAACATTTTAAAAGGCTGGCAACCATCATTGTCACAGGTCTGTTGGAATAACGTTGAACTTGTTTATGCATCACAACCATACTGACAAAGCAACCACAGCACAGACAGTGGCTAGGGATCCACAGTGTGTGCCAGGTAACATTTACAGAGCCTAATAAACAGTAGGACAATAATAAATCAATAACAATTCGATAATCAATTACTGTTTTAACTCATTTAACAAGCAAAAACACCAACTAATAAATGCTTTCAGCTTTTCAAATATATGATATTTGTCTCTGTTTCATATCATTTAAAAGTGAATATTTGGGTTTTGGGCTGCTGGTTGAACAAATCAAGCACTGTGGATTTGGGCTGCAAGAATGTTTTCTGATATTTTATAGACTCAACTATCATTGGAATAATCAAAAGAGAATCACAAATAACATCTGCAGCACTACAGTTTTATTTTGCCCACATCACCATAACACTGGTATGTATATATTTACCATGTCCCAACTGAACATAACTCCATAGTTTTGGACTTCAAGTTGAAGTCCAAAACAGTGTAACATCTCTTCAACAAATGTTTTCAATTAGAGGTTCAAATGAAATACAGCAGTTTGTTCATAATATTGAGATTATTCACTCACCTCCTGAAGCGAGCCTCACGCCTCTTTTCGTCCATGACAGTTTTCTGGGGAGAAGACAAGACAACAACTTCAGTGCCATCTAAATCTCTACATGGCTGTGAAGGGCAGAGCGGATGCCCAATGGAGAAAATACTTGTTTATGAAATAGCACGTACAGTAAGGCACTAACCAGCCTAAATCACGGAGCTGAATGTGATACTCAGTGAAGGCTGGTCGCAGGTAGACATCAGTGTGCATGCTGTACCTATCAGCAACATTAGCCATGCTAACAGACAGTTTGCTACCTTTATTTAACCTTGCTCAGCTTTTATCTGATTCACTTACTCGCAAAATGGAAAAACATGTTATCAACACGTTGACGTCGTGGAGACAAAAAATGTGATGTTGACGACATATGGGATCATAAACACCAGCAGATAATTTACAGTGTGATGTGTGGCAATTATATCTGCACAAGTTAGCTCAGACCTGATGTAGTTGCGTTGCAAACTTTAGCTGTAAGCTAACATTTAAAAGCAGGTAAAAAGAAGCTGGTTGGTGGAAATAACGTGAAAGAGGGCACCCTGTATTCACACAAAATCATAACGGCGATGTAAGGCTTTAATGTACTCACTGTGTAAATATCCTCAGACCCTGCAGAGTTGGGAAACTCAGAATAACTGCAGCCATAGCTACCAGCTGCTGAGGCTAGCTGCTAGCTAGGTAGCTAACACACTGATGACCGGCTGTGGAGGAAAAGGCGAAGTGGTAATTTATTAGACAACTCATAGACAGTTTAGTTTTAGTTTAACTGCAGGAAGCCACTAAACTTTACCAGAGAGAAACATCTGGGGTCTTAAAATGTTGCACTCACACTACCAACCACTGTAACACGCGTGTAAATATCTGTATTATTACTTTTGACCTTCCCAAGGCCTCGTAGTATCGACAACCAATGAGATAGAGGGATGTGGAGGTGGGGATAACGCTGCAGTTACCACATATCACCAACAGAGGGCAGCGTTTCTCTGTCAAACTGAAGGTGAATTACAGGAAATATAAAAACAATTACACTCACAATAATAACATAAAACTCGTTTTATTTTGTAGGGAGAAAAATAAAAATTGCTTGTAAAGCATTATGGAAATTCTTAAATATAAATTATTTGGAAAAAAGATTCAATCCTGGCTACACTGTGATATATTTGAGTTATGCACTGTATTACCTTTGCAGATATAAAAAATTAAACCCTTTTTGAATATTACAGATATAATGGTATTAATTGATCACTTTAGCCAACCAAACCTCACTGATAAAGAACAGTGAAGCTGCAACACTCAATTTTGCAGTACTCTGTAATTTAAGTTCAAGAGTCACATATTATAATAAATCACATTATACAATTAGTCTGGTTCCTATATATTGCTAGTGTATTTACTGTAAGGGCAATATAGCTTTTTTTCAGCCCATTCCTCTTTTATTAAATAATTGTTGAATAGGCAACAAATCAAGGGAGTATTTTAAAAGTCAGAAGTGAACAAAACCTTTCACTGACAGCAGAATGAGACTGAAATTAAAAGCAAAAATATCAGATACAACACAAATGAAGACAGAAAACAATTACTTTTGAAAATCAAATAAAGAATAGTCAAACAAATATATGTAACAACATTGTTTGCATTTATACTTAGGCATGTCAGACATCTTTCTTATTACTAGAAGAATTCAAGGAGCAATTTTGAGAACTTTATATAACAGTAACCGAGAATGAAATATTATTTGAGGTGACGTAAATCTCTGTCCAGTTTCACAACAAGCTCACAGCCTGTCGTATCCTTCTCTGCGACGGTCTTTGATGAACAGGAAGATCAGGACAGGGGTCAGAAGGAAACCCGCCACTATGGCCCCGACAATGATGGGAATAACTTGTTTGTTAAAGTCGGCCCAACACTCCACCTCTGACGCACACGGCAAGAGGAGAGCAAAATGCAGGAAGAAGAAGAAGGAGAATTATTGTAGACAAATAAGCAGAAACATGAGGAAGGTATGAGCTGATGAATCTACATTTGTGACAGTTTACACACACACACACTGATCACTTTGATCAAATTCTTGTATATGTGTTTCATTTACCACTTCAACCTCTCAGGTTTCCTGCAGAAAGGATGCAGTGTAGAGATTGTTTTCCATCATTTATAGTTGGTACACAGCAGCACTAAACCGCTTTAGTTTCAGGACACTTAAAGGTTCTGCAGCTGATTCTCACTGGGCTTAAACACTGTCCAAGGGGACTAATTATCACACCATCTGATTCTCTTATATCTCATCCTCACAGTATATCCACACAGGCCTATCTCCTCAATCAATAAGAAAAGGACACCAACCACCATATTATTTATTATGTCTGGCAAAATCCAGACGTCTAAGAGAAATAAAGACAATAAAACTGGGTAGACCGATGGTGACCACTGTGTTTAAAACTTCCTGTCTGAGACATTTGGATTTATCACAGCTAAATGACTGCCCTACTAGAGGACTGCGATGAAGCCCTGTGAGAAGCTAAACTGTGGTAAGTTTATAAAACTATTGCTATTAGTGAGAGTTGGTAGATGTTTTTAAGAGTGTAAAGGAGTAGTGTGTTGGATTTAGTGGCATTTAGCCTTGAGTACTGCAAATTGCAACCAGCTGAATCTTCTTCTACATACTAAGCATAAACTCCCGCTTAGGATTTCCTAAGGAGGTTTTTACCGTGAGCCATATTCTCCACAGAGGTCTCTTCCTCTCCAAAATGAACAGACCAAGTTAGTAAAACTGGTAAAAATACTAATAAAGCAGCTTCTTGTTACAAACCAGTGTTTCTCTGACACTGATCAGCTCATGGCAGACACCTGCTAATGTGTGCTCACCTATTTTTCACTCTTAACTTATGATCCAGGTGTTCAGGAGGTTTTTGCCAGGAGCTGAATTATTTGCCGAGATCTCTACGTCTGCTATACAAATGGACTCTGTGATTTAAGCTGGTTAAACAACACTGCTCCTTGCTGAGGGGATGCTAACTACAGTGGCCGACACGCAAAATGCAAAAACGATCACACAAATGATCCTTATTTTTTCTTATCGAAGAAAACATACTTACTCTATTATATTACATTTCTGCCAATATACCTCCCTGAATCCTACACACTGGACCTTTACAAGCAAGAACATTACCTGATCCAACTTTAGAGAACACGTCCATATAGATACAAAAAGATATTAATTTTTGTGCCTGAAAAAACTGAGCATTTTGAATTTAGTCTGAAAAACAATATGTTGTAGAGCTTCAGGACCATTTCAATATGAAAATTGTAGCTCTAGAGCTACTAGAGACCTACACTCATTTAAGTTTGTGCAGCAAACCCCAAACGATTGAAGAGCTCAGTCACCTTCTCCATACTGTCCTTCTGGCAGAGTGAAGGCCTGTATCTGCAGAGGAACCAACTTGATCTTCAGCTCCGACGACATCAAAATCAGATTCTCAGATTTGCACTTGAAGCTCTGTCCAATAGCTGCAGTGAAGAGCTTGTCATGGGCCGACGAACCCGAGTAGGTCTTATCTGGGAGGAAGCGGATGAAAGGCAAGGACAGGTACAGTCTCAGTGTTTGCAGGTTGTTGTTTCAAATCCCAAACACAAGCTTTATGATATCTGTCGTCTTAAATTTCTCTCTTATCATGTGGTCTTACTGGCACATCCTGGACAGACAGGCAGAGGAGACACCTGAGCAGTCAGCTTGGAGACGTAGGAAAAATTATTTTCCTGGTGACAAGAACACGGGAGAGTGAAGGTGATTCAGAAATCCATGTATTCTGAACAGATCCAGGTAAACAAATATTTCATCATCTGTTGTGAGTGTTTTGATCTAGATGTGAAGCTAGAGGACTCACTGATGCTCTGATGAATTATATTCCTATCACATAAAGTAGTTTGGATGCAGAGACACATTTGCACACACAGTTTTAAAGCCCTTTCATCAACCTGCAGTGTAAGAAGACAGCCTCTTTGTTGTTGAATGTGTTGTACCTTTGTGAAGGTGAACTGCAGACTGGCAGCATGGTCTGGCAGCGTGAGTGAGAGATCAACAGCTTCTTTGCCACAGTTACCGCTGATCCTGACCCTGGAGGGATCCAGGTTGAAATACCACGTCTTCTGAACACACACAGGAGAGAAGTATTACTTTACATAAGGGAACAGTGTTACAATTCAGTGTCTCTTCTCACTGGATCGTTTACTTTGTGCCAAAACGTGACTGTATTAACACTATATTGGAGACATATGAGAGGATGAATTTACATGTAAATATGTATCAAGCCTCAGCCAGCAGAGTACACACGTCTTAGAGAGAGCTGATTGTCGTTTCCAATACGCTCTGTTCACAAATTAACAACCCTGACACACACACACACACACACATTGCTGAGTCACAGCCTCTGACCTTCTTTTCGATGACAATGTACTCTGCTCCCATGGTGGCTTTAATGCAGGTTTTCCCATCATGGTTTTTCAGCATGTAGGTCCCTGCGCACAAAGCACACACACACACACACACACACACACACACAGATACACACAAGGACAGACACACAAAAGATTTTCCTTTATACAGTTACAGAAAGTTTTACTGTAAAACTGGACTGTAATGCCAGTAGAGTTTACCTTAAAATGTGAGTAAACTATCTGTGGTGCAGATAATTAATGTATTATCTCAGATGAGTACGACTAGCGTTATGTCCTAGTCATGTTGTTGGGCTTTACACTCCATGTAAGGCATTGTTGGTGTATTTCAAATTACAATAGTATTCATTTTATATAGTGTATCAGTGTTTTTATGCTGCTGAAATGTTTCAAAAATCAAATTGTGTGTAATTGTTTTAAAACTCTTATTAATGATTATTATTAAGTTTATTAAAAGTTCCTATAGACACTTAAATTGTTGTCTGTATTGTAATATACATGATTTTCATTCTGTCACTACTCATGTTATTCTTGCAACATATTTGTGATTCCCTCTACAATAGATGGGCTACAGAAACCAGTGCTTGTGTTCTTTATGTTTGTTATTAATCTAGTGTTGTGTTGGTGAGCACCTTTTGGAGGAAAGGCCTCAGAGGGCTGAAACACCGGCTGGTAGATGTGAGCCTCAGAGGGCAGCCCAGAGTCTGAGGCAGGCTGGATGGAGCTGTCGCCTTTCTGGAGGTGGACACCTGTGGAGGAATATATATGCTGCTCTCAATGCCTGTTTATCACCTGAGGTTTTTTCTAATTGTTATATAAAAAAGTAGCACTTCCAAATAAATGAAGTCAAGTGCACATAGTAGACTGCATGATTAGTTATTTTCCCAGAGATGTAGAAACTAGCCAGAACTTCAACATGCTGTACCACCTGGCTTCAGGTTTTCTGTTTGTCAAATGTTGGATTATAATCTGATAAAACACAACTTTAATCAGGAATATTCACCATTAAAGCACAATATAGAGTATATTTTGACACAGGGCCCCCCTAAAAGACAGAGCAACAAGCTATATCAAATGAGCCTTGGTTTTAATTGTAGCTTGGTGTTGGATATCCCTATAAACGTGGAATTAATCAAATTATGTGCATCTAGTTTACACCCAGTGGACCCAAATGTAACAGGTCCACTGGGTGTAAACTAGATGGGTATGACTGGGGCCAGAGGTTAGTTGTCAACTTTGTTAGTCCGGCCAGAGCTTTAACTGAATCTTGGAACAGTAAAAGTTGCTAACAATGTAAAGACAATGAAAAAAAATCCCATCTAACATTTTTGTTGTCAGCTTTGTACACTTTATAACAAAAAAGATTTTTAGGAGTTGTAATGATATAGTGAAAATTAGGCTGTTTTTTTTCATGCTCTACAG